AATGTTGTGTTTTATACCACTATCAAGATAAAGATTAAAAAAACAAAACTTTTGCAAGGTTACTGTAACCTTGCATGATTCGGGAATGGAGCTGTACAGCTATAAACCCCAGAAAAATGTGGCTTTAATAGAACAAATAGTTCTGCTCACACAAAATTTTGAACTCTCCCATTAGTTCATATAACCTGGAGAAAATCTGTTTCCGCATCTGGAAGACCATCCAGGATCAGAAAGCACCAGGATGCGCCCTAGTAACAAAAGCATGTGCTGAAATGGACCTAATTATGCGTCGTCGTATAAACCTCTTGCTTAATTTATTCCTTTTTAATCATTAGGAAGGGCGAAGAATTACCCAGAATGTTGAGGAACTGGAAATACTATTCAACCACAAGCTTGTGACAGATTAGCAACATAACCCGCACATTTTCTTCCATGCTCTTGAGACTTTTTTTTAAACAAGGGATGCCCAAGACCACAGTACTGTTTTTGGGGAATTACAGCACACAGATTTGGAGTGTTCTTGTTCTATATTCATCAACCCATGGTGACATGCTTTCTTATCTATTAACAGGTTTTTCTAGCTTTATATAATTTTATCCTGCTTGGTTGGATATACTGGAGTAGCCAGTTTGGGAAGAAGTTGTCTGGGGGATGTTAACAATGAAATAAAGCAAACTGGAAATGAAAGGAAAGAAAACTTTTTTTTAAAAGAAGGTGATATTTAGAAGGATTCTCCATGACAGAATTCAACAATGGGGTATCTGTAAGTGTGAGGGAATCTCTTGGGCTCTTGAACACTGAAACATTGCCACTGCCCTCCACGGTTCACTTAAAATAAATGTATTTTTACATATGAAAAACAAAATGGCTGAAAAGTACTAACCTGGCCCGAACCTTTGAGATTTCAGCAATCGCATAAGATTGCAATGCGTATTAGAAAGGGGTGGGATTTCAATTGCATGGCTGTGGCTGCCATCTTGACTTTTTTGACCCCTTCCCTGCAGGGACCACTACCCATGGTCC